GAGAGAGAGAGAGAGAGAGAGAGAGAGAGAGATGATGTTGTAGCATGGTTGCATTTGTTCCACCATTACCATGCTCTCCGTAACTCCGTGTCATTGTGCTAGAAATCTTACTGACATAGTTTTTGTCGCATTGCATAACGGATTTGAACCCGCGACTTCTGGCGTGACAGACCTTTTGCTGTGAATCCGACTTTCCTAATGCAGCCAACGTAGGATGGTATGAGCGACACAGACAGCATTTCCTAGAAGAGAGCAGGCTTCTTCTTTTTTTCCACAATGTTCTTCTTTTTTTTTCTCCTCCTGTTTTTCGGTCGTGACTTCTACTTTTGGACGAGGAGTGACACAGACGCGCATGCATGTCTTCTCCTCGCGTGTGTTGGGCAATTCTCCTGCACAACACGCAGTGAGAGATTGTGATTCAGGGAGTGCAGGGAAAAGGGAGTGTAGGTGTATAGCTCTTCCTTTAGACCTTTGAGGTAATAGCTCATTGGTTGATCTGTACATATGGAGGAAATGCGAAGGTAGTTCCTCTCCCGCTCCCCTCCCTCCCCCCCCTCTCTTTCCCTTTTTGAATGGTTCTCGTTTCAGTTAGTAGGGGTAGATTTCATTTCCAGCTTCCCCCCGCCCTCTTTTTCCTCCTGCCTCCTGTTGTCTGTGTGTGTGTGTGTGTGTGTGGAGTTTGGAAGGAGGGAGATTTGGGGAAGCTGCAGTTCAAGACACATGTTTTTTATTGATTTTTTTTTTGTTTTTTGTTTTGTTTTGTGTATATTTATTTTCGAATGGACGTTGAGCCTGGCGTCATTGTTTGAGGCTTGTTTTTTCGTTCTTCTTTTACTTTCGAAAAAACAGTTCGAGGCGGTTTTAATTTTGAATAAGAACGAGGTCTTCTTCGTTTTCTGTGAATCTTTTTGGTCTGGCTCCATTGACTTTCTTTTTTTTTGGGGGGGGGGGGGGGGGGGGGGGGGCTCAATTGGCTTTTTAAGTTTTTAGAACCTTTTTTTAACCCTTCAGGTTTTTTCTGTCTATGTTTTTTATTTGGCAAGGAACATGAGCGAGAGCGATAAACAGAAACCCGAGTTGCGAAATCACGTAGAAGTCCAGATAGTCATGTAACAAGCAGAGAGCTCAAATCTCAAATGCACCAAGATTGCATCTAAATAAGAGCGCAACAATTCACTCGTGAGCCAATGTCCAAGTCCTCAGGCCACATGAACGCAGTATTCAATGTTGCTCCTACTGTCTGGCGCCCAGCGCCCAGCCTACTCTACTCATCCTATCTAGCCTATCTACATTCGTGCAACAGGCTCACTTTGACGACGAAGACCAACTTATATGACGTCAACACCAATGCAGTCCGCCAGCATACACCAGGTACGTTCTCTCTTCTCTCACATCACCCCTTGACTTCCCCACAGTGTGCATCCCCAACACCGAAGGACCACCATCATCATCGCCAGCCTCCGCTGAGCAAGCCCGGCTATGGCTGCCGTGCGCCCACTGCCCAGCAGTGCACCTCACACCCCAGCGCCTGTGCGCGCAACCCAGCCAGCAGCTTCGTGCCGATCACGAAGGTGCAACGCAGCAGCGTGGCCGCATTGCCTGCCTACTGCCTAGGCCAAAATGACCTCCCCTAGTGATGCTCACTTCTGTATATGGAAAGTCAGCTCAGCCTCTGTTGCCGCTGGGCCTGTCTGAACGAGCATCCAATAGCTTCCAGTCGGGCCCTAGTATCTGCGCCCAGGCCCAGTTGTAGTTATGTTCCTGGGCCTTTTACAGTTGGGCACGTCCAGGCAGTCGACGGCGACGGGCCTCCACATGTTCGCTGTGATCTCGTTGGCGCACGGCCGCTATGTGCCGACAATGCTGCAATCTCATTGGTCCGTGGCTATTGTATGATGTGTCAGCCTCTGAAAGTACACGCCTGGGTCCTTTAACTGTACAGGGCCCTGCGATCAACTGCCCGTCGAGGCTGCAACTTCCGGAAAGAGCCTGGAGAGGCTCACGTTGCTCTGCTGTAACCAACTGGCGTGCTGCAACTGTCGGATACCCCTCATGCAAAATTTGACAAAAATAGGCCTCTCGTAAATATTCCGGCCTGCCTTCACTTAGGGCGGGCACAAGTTGGTATGGTTACAGGGCCTCAGCCGAGATGTGGGGTGAGCCTAGAAGGGCTACTGCGAAGATTCATGCCTGCATATGGATTCCAACACCGGCCCCTTTAGCGTGATGATCGCACTGGCCTG